CACGACGCCTACTGGTTGACCTGACCTGACCTGACCCGACCTGGTCTAAATGCTTAAAGACATCATCTGTGATCAAAACTAACACGATATTCTTGATCAGCACCCCGAAAAACCCCTTAGCAGCCACACTTTACGACTTTCTAATAGGTCCCGATTTTCCCGACTTTGGGTCATTGACCTGACCTGGAAGGTCAACCAATGACCTAGGACCTTAAAATTGGGTATCATCGGCTTCCTCTCGTCACGGGCAACACGCTCGTTTTTTCCGCGAAGCTCTAGCTCGATCAGGGGCCAAACGGCAAGGGGGGGGGGGTCCAACCGACCCCCCCCCCTACACATTAGAAGCTGGAAAACGCCGCACACATGCGAGGGTTAACCTACTGCAATAAGGACATGATGTTTGCTATATTAATGTCGATGAACTCGGCTTCCCTGCCCTTCTCAGTCACGTATGATTTCAGACGCTCGCAGCCTTTCATGTGCGCTTCCAATATTGAGTTTCAGAGCCAATTTATCAGCTCTGACCAAACCCATGTTGTGTCACTTTACAACGACCACCGCTTCCGCCACAACTGGGCCAACAAGTGTTTTACCCCTCCCGCCTGCTCAGGGTCTCTATGCGGGAGACCGTACGGGGCCGGCAGCCCGGCTGGTGGCCCATCCCGCAGCCCCGGGGCAAGAGAAGAGCCAGTAGCGCCCGGCTCCGCCCGTCCGCCCCGGCGACTACAGTGCCGCTCGTTAGAGGCAGAGTAGGCTCTCTGAGCTGCCGAGAATCACCGCCCTGATCGGAAACCAGCGGCGAGGGAGCCAGTGTGCCGGTGGTTTGCGCCGAACTTTGGTCGTGGGCACGGTGCAGAGCGCAGCGCGGCGGTGTGGGCCCATATGGCCGGATAAGTGGTTATCGATCGGTGCACTGGCGGCGGTCACATACACAGGACACTGCAGTGAGCCGAGCGGTCACCATGCTGGCCACACGCGGATCCCGCAGGAAACTGGAGATCCATGCCGACATGGTATCCAGATCCAAGTAGGTCGTGCGAATATTTGGTACAGTGACTTGTTGGGGCGTTTTATGCGTGAGTTTTTAGGGTGTTTTTTCACCTTTTGTTAAGATGGTGTGTTTTGGTGGGCTATGGCTATTGACCACTGATGCTAAAGGATTTGTAAATGCTAGCATTATTAAACATGACACTGTATTGTCAAAAACAGCTTGTATTGATTGGCATTTGCATAGATAACATGAATATTTTCATGTTATCTTTGGCACTTGACATTAAATTATATTCGTAACATTCGTAATAGTGCTTTCATCAAACTGAATAAATGCATCAAGTCAATTTAAATGAATATATGATAGCTAGTCTTGGTTTCATTTCGATACTTTGCACAACCTACTCTCTCTCTCTCTCTCTCTCTCTCTCTCTCTCTCTCTCTCTCTCTCTCTCTCTCTCTCTCTCTCTCTCTCTCTCTCTCTCTCTCTCTCTCTCTTTCTCTCTCTCTCTCTCTCTCTTTCTCTCTCTCTCTCTCTCTCTCTCTTTCTCTCTCTCTTTCTCTCTCTCTCTCTCTCTCTCTATCTCTTTCTCTTTCTCTCTCTCCCTCTCTTTCTCTCTCTCTCTCTCTCTCTCTCTCTCTCTCTCTCTCTCTCTCTCTCTCTCTCTTCTTATTTTCTCTTTAAATTAATTATCATTCAATTAAAAGCTGACCTTTTACGGCGTGAAGCGTCTTCAATTTACCCTGCTCATTTTCAATCACCAGCGAGGGATTTTAATGAAACGATGGCTCTGGGAAGACGCCGTTTTAATCATTGAGTCGCTGAGGCGCGGCACTCAGTCACGCCGTAAGTTTGCAGGCCGTCCTCCGTCACCTGAAATCGATACCGTCACGCTACAATGAGCCCTTGAGCTGTCGATCAGACCTCACTCAATATGACCTGGTCGGCGGCCGAACGTCCGGCGCTTTCACAGAGCGAGCGTGATTTGAAAGCCGGGGATTGGAGTGGATTGGCTTATGATCAGATTGGAGTGGCGATGTTTGCGATGTGGCTGCCCTGGCGCTCTGCTGCATAAAAGCGTGTGTTTGTGTAACTCATTAATATGGTTCGGGAGTCGGGGTTCTGTAATGGGAACATGAGGGTTATAAATACGACACTTGCTCGCGGCGTATTGATTTGATGTGGAGCTCTTGTTTTGTTTGGCACGTCTGAACTAATTAGGTGCTTCAATGTGCTGTTGTAGCTGGTGTCCAATGCAATGTGTACCCACATCATGATCAATAAGTGCATTACATCTCTGTCAAAGTAGTGTCATTTCAATGAACAGGGCTTCTGTCACAAGTTGGTTGTTGTGAGGGGGAGGCGGAGACTGTATGGCACCATTTTTTTCTTTAACGCCCGTATGTCTGATTTTCAAAAGGCAAAGCGTATCAGTAAGAAAGGGGTGTTTCGCCAGTTACCCTTGAAGCTTAGCTGATGAAAAAGGATGACAGATGAACGTCAAGGGAATGAACTAAATGAATGAATAACAAATGAAGTTTATAAATGAACATTTAGGTTTGGTATTTTTATTTGCAATACTTAAAGCATAAATGTCGAATGTAAGCAAATAAACATAGACACGAAATTCAACAGACCTTAACCCTATTCCTGGCGGGGGGCCTCAGGAGCCCCCCCCCCCTGAGGTTTTTTGGTTATTTCTCCCAAACGCGTTGAGCTAGGAAGCTCAAATTTTCTGACTTTTCCTAAAAGGCTTCTACGCAACATGTCTGAAAATTTTGAGTTGACCTGACCTCAGGTCAGGTCACCAGAGGCGGTTTGGTGACCCTACCTCAGAAAAGTTTGCAATCACGCCAGAGCTAGAGTTTTTGACCGATCAATTTCTTCTCTTCAGGCTTTAGTTAGGGTACCAGTATGTGCAATTTGTATATCTCGGAATTTTGATATCGGTGACCTAAGGTCAGGTCAGTTTCGCGACCTCCCCATTATAAGTCAATGGGGGAAAAATCAACTCCCTGTTTTTACCACTAAAACGGGTCGGAATGGCCTCATATGCCATACATGACTTCATATACGATCAACCTTCACTACCTTGGGGTCTGTTTTGCTGTTGGGCAGCTGTGAGGTCATGTGATGTCATCAAAGGTCACCAAAGGTTTTTGGCCAATAACTCCGTATAGGAACAAGATACAGACGCGTGGATGGTCTCATTGTGTTCAGCTCGTCAAGACGCATCGAATGATATACATGATGACCTCGAGGTCACGTGACCTGAGGTCAACCTTTGACCTTGACCTTTCCAGGTCAACATATATATCATTCGATGTGGATTGACGAGAGGATCACGATGATGACCTTAGTTTGTTCCTATCTTGACTAATTCGAAAGTTATTCGAGAAAAACTCTCCATATCTAGCGCCGCCATTTTGACTTTTTCGACCCCTGTGACGTCATCTTTGACCTGACCTGAAAATGACCTTAGTAAAAATTGTAGATCTTGACCGTGCGTATCCGATGCCGTTTACCGTTTGTCGCTGCGATGTGTAGTTTTTTGAGATCTGAAGGGGGGGCCGAATCGCCCCCCCCCCGGCCCCCGCCAGTTTCTTGTCCCGGCGGAGCCCGCCAGGAATAGGGTTAATTTGCAGTCCACAAAGTACACCAAAATGGAAGTGATTCCTTGAAAACTATCAATGTCTAAGGGCTAAGTGCAGGCTATTCGGATAAACCATACCTAAATGGTTCAGTCATAACGCATCAGTCATCAGTCATCGCTCCTGCCTTTCACGACTTATCCGTATTTTCCCGTGTGTATCGATCGCACTGCTGCGTGCGTGAATGCTGAGTAGACTGACACGGCTAGTCATTAAAAATCCGTCATTATGCCTGCCGTCACTAAGGAGCTCAGCTGGTAGGGTAAAAGCGAAAATCAGCCAAAGCACACAGGACTGCGGTGGGCGATTTCACATCGCTCGTTTGCGGGCTGGGCGATGCTGTGCCGCCGGGCTGGCATGTATTGCGGCACAGTATACCACCGCGCTGGACGCTAGTGGCACCTAGCGGCAGCAGCATGAACTACACTCGGCTCGGTGGCCGAAACACCGCACTGGCAGCCTGGCTGGCAGCCGGGCAGCCGGCAAGGCATTCATAAATAATAATGCAATCAAGCAACTGCGGCTATTCACTGTTTCTCAGCTCTCCGCATCATTTGAAATTCAGTCATGAAGTCATGCATTGTCTTTGAATGTTAAACAAACATGGGCAAACTGTGGAATTTCAATTAAGGGACATGCATAATTTGTGTATGACCTGACCCCTGGCTTCTCCTGACCTCTCTGTCGGCTCTATGGACCAGTGTCTCTAGAGGATTTGGTATCAAAGGTCAGCTCACCCATACGGTCATATAACTACTCCCGCTTATTAGCTCTGAACTCACGACCTATGAACTTTAGCTGGCTATTGGTAAGGCTGCACTCTTGTCAATAGCAGTACGTCCGACGACCGCCAGGCGTCCCTTGCAGCTTGCTGATGATCTGATTGCCGGGGCACTAAGGCTCTTCCGAGCCAGCTCATGGATGAATCACTGGCGGATCCAGAAAGGTGGTCTTTGAGGCTGCGAAAGGGGAGCATATCCTCCCTGAAAATCTCCGAACTCCAAAAACTTTTCGCATTTTGATTCCTTATTAGCTGCTCTTCATTCAAAAGCGAACTTTTCTTATAAAACTCGTTCATTTGTTTATATACTAAACAAAACGGTGTAAACATTCGTCGATTCGCATGCAGAGGGGCAGCACATACATATCCTGCCCAAGCTGTGGTAGGTACACTGACAGCTTGTCTCCAACAGAGTGAACGAGCTTCTTATCACTGTTATCAGCTTCCGCCCCTTTGTCCCAACTTTTAACGATATCTGACGTAACACAACTTGTCCTACTCTTTCAAACTATTCACAAACTATTTGCACTTTGCGTCTGTCAACATCTACTAACGTCTCGTCTGTTCTGTTTTCCAGAGTTCAGGAGACGGACGGCTCGTTTTTCGAGGCGTTTGCGTCGTTGCCATGGCGACAGGAGAACCGCCGAATGCAGAGTCTGAAGGAAGAGGAGGAGCAGAAGGACCGTCCGCCGCCCAGCGAGGCAACCGCCGGCCTCCAGCCCAAGAGGGTCGTGGTCAGCCAGCAGGAGGTGAGGGAGGGGAAGCGAGCCAGCTGCGGCAGGCAGCGAACGGGGAGGAGGGGGCAGCCGCCGGCCTCCAGCCCAAGAGGGTGGTGGTTAGCAAACAGGAGGTGGGTGAGCGGGGAGGTGGCCGCGGGGAGAAAAGAAGTTTAGTTTAGTTTAGTTTAGTTTATTTAGCATATCATCCACGGGTAAGATGACCCATTTATAGACAAAGTCATCAGAATAAAAACACACAAACGCAGCAAGGTGAATAACAATGCAAAACAGACACAATATCGACACAAACACACCTCTGTTGGTCTACTTCTCGCGCACATAGGTGATCACATGCTTTTTGAAGTTCAGAGCGCTGTGGTTCCATATGTCAATGGCCCGGTTTCGGTCGAGAAACGCGTTACAAAGAAGGAAAAGGAAGGGAGGAAAAAAGTAATGAAAGCATAGATTACTAACTCATGCAATTTTAATGGGAAGGGGGTGAGGGTAATGGCGGATCAGAAGTGGAGCGGTATGAGAGCTATGCCTCTTTAACCCGCGCCCTGCTGGGGGGGGGGGGTGTTTGAACACCCCCCCCCCCTGTGGTTTTTCGCGCGCCGCCGTTTTTGGTACACCTTATTATACATCAATTCTATACATGTTGTGAAAATTTCAGACCAAGGTCATTCAAGGTCAGGTCACCAGGTCACTTGAAGTGACCTCACCTCATAAAAAGTTTCAATGTCTGTCATAGCTACACCGAGTGACCGATCGCTTTGAAACTTTCAGCGATTGCTAAGAGCAATAGCATGTACAAAATGTATATCTCAGAATTTTGATATCGATGACCAAGGTCAGGTCAATTTTGCGACCTCCCCATTATAAGTCAATGGGAGAAAATTGAAATGCGCCTCTTTTGGACGAAAGACATTATAAACACTCCCAAACACTGAATTACAAGTGGTTTAGACACACTGAACATGAAAATGGTGTCCGTGACCCCTGTTTATGCCCTGAGGTCATCTTAGGTCACGAATGGTATCTAACAGTTTTTCGCAAATAACTTTTGATAGAGGCATGCTAGAGCGATGAAAACGCCATAGATGTGTTCAGCTCGACGATACGGATCGACTGATATGCAACATGACCCTTCCCGGTCAGGTCATGACCTTGACCTGAGGTCAAATTTTCAAGTTGACCTTTCAAGGTCAAGTTATAGTTCATTCGATGCGTCTTGACGAGAGGAACACGATGCCGGTAAAAGTAAGCTTGTACAAGGCTTGGGTCAAAAGTTATTGCAGAAAAACTGTTTCCGAAAAAATAGGCTATTTTTGCAGTTTTTGCCCCCTGCAGGCAAAACCGTTGACGTTAGGTCAAATCTGAGAAAATTACTCAGAAAGGGCGTTAATAGGGCTATCGAATGCGCTTTTCCGCGGCGCTGTAGCTCTATTGGTTCCCGAGTTATGCGCTGGCTTCTTGGAAATTTTCGACATTCGACCTGGAAATCGGCGAAATTTTGCCTTCAATGACCTCTGGTGACCTGACCTTTGACCTGACCAAAAAATTGACTGAAGTGATTTCCTCATTATTTTTGACGCCCTTTCGAACGCCGCCTTCCGCGTATCGCTACGTGGCCCAGGAGCCGAGTTAGAAGGGGGGGGGTGTTCAAACACCCCCCCCCAGCAGGGCGTGGAAATCCAGGACCCCCAGCTGGGCGCGGGTTAACCCTCGCCGGCACAGGCCATTTTGTGTCCTTCGACGGCACAAGGGGGTTGGTACGACCCCCCCTCGTGTTTGGCCCCTGATCGAGCTAGAGCTTCGCGGAAAATACGAGCGTGTTGCCCGTCACGAGAGGAAGCCGATGATACCCAATTTTAAGGTCCTAGATGATCGGGTGCCCTTCCAGGTCAGGTCAATGACCCGAAAACCGGGAAAATCGGGACCTGTTAGAAAGTCGTAAAGTGTGGCTGCTATGTAGTTTCCCGGGGTGCTGATCACGAATATCGTGTTAGTTTTGATCAGAGATGATGTCTTTAACCCTCGCCGGACCTATTGGTTTTCTACATACGCGCCGGCCGAGGGGGGGGGGGCGGGCACGACACCCAGTGCCCTTCTGCTGGACGGCTGGGTCCAACAGTGAATGCGGACTGCGGGTGACCACTGACCAGGAGGTAAAGGAAGGTGATGTGAAGCGAAGGAAATGGATGGGTCATTGAGCGATATGACCAAGTTGTGCGGTGATTGTTTGAGACAGACTCGGAGCTATTCAGCATTCAATATTCATTTCTGCAATCAGTCCCGATAAAGCGGGGGCACTGCCGTTTCGGAAGTTGACATGCTTCCATACAGGGCCTGGCTTCAGCAGTCGAATGATACTCGATCAAATCCCTTTATGTGGTCCAAAAGTCGCCGCTGGCACCACTCATGTGTCACTTATGAGCTCTCACAAGTTTGACTGCTAGGAAATTCAATCATACGACCCCACTTCTCAGGAGTCGATAGTTTTGTTGCAGCACAGGCCGTTCCCCGCTGCTACGACTGGGAAATGATCGGGCCATTCTCTCAGCTCTAAACCAGACATTTCGCTAAGAGTTTCTCGCATGACAGAGTTTGGAATTTGATTGACTGGAATATGGTTCTAAATTGGGTGGAAGGGTGCCTGCCTATGAGGTAACCTTCCCATTTGAGTAGAGTTTGCATTCATAGGGTGAACAACGAAAATATTGCCGTCATAAAGCTCGATGAAGGTTTATGAAGGCCTTTTGATTTAGGATGACGGAATAGCTGGCTGCTGGGCCTGATGCCCATCGATTTATACGAGTACTTGGAATGCGCTTGGACCATGTTGTCGATGTCAGTAGCAAAATACCGCTATAAAATATGTGAGCATGCCATAAAGCATCACTAGATAAATAATGAATGGCAATAAGTATCTACTTTCTCCTGAAAGGTTGTGCTTCCCTGTAGTAACAGCAGAAATAATAATTAGAAATGTGTAGATAAGTCAGAGATGTTCTGAACCTCTTCATGCAGGTGCCAGCAGGCCAATTTTCCTTTGAAAGGTTTGTGTTGCAGAGCCTGCAAAGAAGAGACAGAAAGCTGGGCTCTTTTGCTTAAACCTTTGTTGTTTTTGCAGATACTGTTTCATGGTTTTCCCAATTTGATCTTTGTGATTTTTCTAATGTAAAAAATAGTTTCCTTTGTAAGCGGGGCATAATAGCCTGGGTATGTTATGCCAAGCAATGAGCGTACCTCTGCAGCTCATTTAATTGTTATGGCTTCCTTTGTTGGGAATGGGTCTAAAAAAAACGAGACTTCTCGAATCTGTAGGGAATGTATAGTTGTCAGAAACTTGCGCAATGATTTATCCCAGCGGCTTTCGTTTTACATTCCCTGGAAGCAGGCCTACTTTGCTGCTTAACCCGCGCCCCACTGGGGTCTGTGTATAACACGCCCTACTGGGGGGGGCTATTCATAGCCCCCCCCCCTCCTAACTCCGAAACTAATGGGCCGATCGTCAAAATTCAAAGGGCGTCTGATAGCCCCGCAAAAACTGTCGAGCGAAACCTAATTTCATTGACCTCAAGGTCACCGATGACGTCACAGGTCAGGTCAAAGTAAAAATTATTAGCATTTTGGCTTGTTCACATTTTGGGCTCTAGCCGCCGTCTTACAAGTCAGATCAGGCTCATTTTTGGTTTCCACACTCGTGAACAGATGCTCTAGATACCTTGAGGGTACCAAACTTGTACTTTGATTTTCAGGTCAGGGTCAGGTCATCACAGGTCACGAAAATATTATATCATGCGTCGGTCACGTGACACATGTTTTATGGTCCATTTAGGCAATAGATTTCGAATTTGATGTCGTCCGTGTCATTCGAGGTCATTTTGAGTCGAATTTAGCTTAGGTCAGGTCACTTTCAGGTCAAAAAAGGTCAAATTTTGAAGTTGAAATTTTTCAACAAAAAAGGTGTCTAGGTATTGGATGCAGTTTGAGCTCAGGAACACGATGGTGCCATTTATATTGGTGTACGATGTCAAATACGTACTGAAAAATTGATTTAAAAAATTAATAATTTTGAATTTTTTGCAATAATGCGTATAACTTGGCCATTTTTGAAGATATTTAGCTAAAACTTGCTAGAGTTAGTCATAATCATGCGTTCTGTCACATATATTCCGATTTGTTCGAAAAGTCAAAAACTTTTTGAAAAAATATAAAAATATAAATTTTGAATATTATTATATATAATTTTGAAATTTTTAAAATTTTGAAAATCCGAGATAGCAGTTTGATAGCGCGGTCAATTTTGAGTCCTTTCATGCAAAGAAATTGGATCTAGCTTAAAAACTGAGCTCTTGGGAGCGATGGCCGTGGTTCAATGTTTTGCGTCGAAATCGGCCGAACATGACGTCACTCTGACGTCATTTCCGGCCGACCTATGGTAGCTACGAAGTTCAAATTTTGACACAAGGTGTCAAATTAATGCAGCCGAAGGTACTGAAAGTTTGGTGTCGATCCGTCAAGCGGTTTGGAAGTTATTGCAGAAAAACGGGAGGGGGGCTATAAATAGCCCCCCCTCCCCCCAGTGGAGCGCGGGTTAACCCGCGCCCTGCTGGGGGGGGTGTTTGAACACCCCCTTGTGGTTGTTCGCGAATATCTCAAAAACGGCGGCGCGTAGCGCCGCCGTTTTTGGTACACCTTATCATACATCAACTCTACACATGTTGTGAAAATTTCAGACCAAGGTCATTCAAGGTCAGGTCACCAGGTCACTTGAAGTGACCTCACCTCATAAAAAGTTTCAATGTCTGTCATAGCTACACCGAGTGACCGATCGCTTTGAAACTTTCAGCGATTGCTAAGAGCAATAGCATGTACAAAATGTATATCTCAGAATTTTGATATCGATGACCTAAGGTCAGGTCAATTTGCGACCTCCCCATAATAAGTCAATGGGAGAAAATTGAAATGCGCCTCTTTTGGACGAAAGACATTATAAACACTCCCAAACACTGAATTACAAGTGTTTTAGACACACTGAACATGAAAATGTTGTCCGTGACCCCTGTTTATGCCCTGAGGTCATCTTAGGTCACGAATGGTATCTATAACAGTTTTTCGCAAATAACTTTTGACAGAGGCATGCTAGAGCGATGAAAACGCCTTAAATGTGTTCAGCTCGACGATACGGATCGACTGATATGCAACATGACCCTCTCCGGTCAGGTCATGACCTTGACCTGAGGTCAAATTTTCAAGTTGACCTTTTAAGGTCAAGTTATAGTTCATTCGATGCGTCTTGACGATAGGAACACGATGCCGGTAAAAGTAAGCTCGTACAAGGCTTGGTTCAAAAGTTATTGCAGAAAAACTGTTTCCGAAAAAAATCGGCTATTTTTGCGGTTTTTGCCCCCTGCAGGCAAAACCGTTGACGTTAGGTCAAATCTGAGAAAATTACACAGAAAGGGCGTTAATAGGGCTATCGAATGCGCTTTTCCGCGGCGCTGTAGCTCTATTGGTTCCCGAGTTATGCGTTGGCTTCTTGGAAATTGTCGATATTCGACCTGGAAATCGGCGAAATTTTGCCTTCAATGACCTCTGGTGACCTGACCTTTGACCTGACCAAAAAATTGACCGAAGTGATTTCCTCATTATTTTTGACGCTCTTTCGAACGCCGCCTTCTGCGTATCGCTACGTGGCCCAGGAGCCGAGTTAGAAGGGGGTGTTCGAACACCCCCCCCCCCAGCAGGGCGTGGAAATCCAGGACCCCCAGCCGGGCGCGGGTTAATCACTGAGAGTACCTGGAACAACAGAATTAGCCAACTATTGTAGACGCATCCAAACAAGCTGCCAACTATGGTAAACACTCTGGGGATAATCCCGCAGCTGATTCCTCCGAGTCCCGTGACGCCGCACTAAGCTCCGGTAATCCGCTATCGCCGGCGACAGGGCGCCGAACCGCCTCTTGGAATCGATAGCTGCTGATGTCAAACTGCGATCAACACCGTCACGCTCACTGGCAGACCCTGGGTGAGATTCAATCGGGGAAAAGCCCCCCCCCCCCCTCTCCACCGTGCCCCAAATAGATGAACATTTACCGCGTTGAATGAAAACTAAACAGCATCTCTTTTTTAAATCATTTAATTGCATGAAAGTGCATAAGAGGTCGATATCGGCAGAGTTTTGGAATCCGGATTAACTTTTTTAGGATAGAAATGCCCAGCATCGTCCAAGACCGCCTTCCTGTATCCGGCTAACGATCCCACTCCGTCTGTTGCAGCGTGAGAACCTGTACGTGGAGGTGCTGTACACGGTGAAGCACAAGGTGGGGGCGACCACGTCCGAGCACTCGTCGCTGGTGGACGAGCTCAACGACTACACGCAGGAGGCGTTCCACTTCTCCCGGGACGAGCACCAGAGGATGATGACCATCGCCAGTGATGAGAAGGTGAGGAGGAGGAAAGGGGAAGGGGGGCGGATCGAAGGAGAGAGAGAGAGAGGGAGGGGAGAGAGAGAGAGGGAGAAAGAAAACAACGTGTTGGAATAGGGAACGGAAGAAGTAGAAGTGGAACACCGAAAAGCCTATATTATAAGTGGAACGGAGAGAGAAAAAACAGATGGAGAGAGAGGAGCGAAGAAGGAAGAGAAATAAGATGGGAATGAGAAGGAGAAAAGAGATCGGCTAAAGTGACAGGAGATGTGATGGTGGGAAGAGTGAGCTGATGTAGTGCGGGTATTCATTGGAAGCAAAATGATCAGCTTGAACGGGGTTGGATGGAGGAGCAAGACGATTGGGAAAGTAAAAATATATTAGTTGTCAAACTGTCATTCATTGTCAGAACCTCAAAACGCTAGAAGCCACGAGCAGCATTAGCTGAGATTGCTATTACCTTTGCTTCACCATCACCCTCCTCGGTATCTATCCACCTTTATCTAGAATACTCAACCTGTTCCACCGTTGGGGGCGGAGGCAGGTGACCGCGTGCTGAGTGCTGGCCACCCCAGCCGTCAAATACGGGCCGGTACCCGCCTGCTGACCACCCGTGCCTTCAAATACGGGGCAGAACCTACCGGCGGTGATAGCCTTTACTGACCACCCCAGCCGTCAAATACGGGGCAGTACCCCGGTGGCCGGCGCGCTCCCACGACGCTTTACGGCGCCGATCGAATACTATTAGGGCGGCTTTCTATGACGAGGCGTGAGCGCCGCCGCCGCGCCAGAACCGCCGCGCCCGGCCGTTTGGCGCCAAAATGGACGGCCGTCACGCGGTGCGCGCCGTTGGGCGTCAAAGGGACGGGAAGTGGACGGGGGCAGCTGGCAGTGAACGGGCGAGGAGGAACTGCTGGAAAGCTGGGAAGTCGGCTCCATGTTAGGGCCGTTTTACACCGTAGCATGTTTTCGGACATGTTATTTATAGACATAAACCTCTCATGATTTTTCTTCTTGTTCGTTTTCATGTAGATATCCTGCTAATGCAGCGCTTGATGTGTATGTGGTGTGGCTATATGTATACATCCAGGTGTGGCTATATGTAGGTCTGCAAAATTTAAGCTCCTTCAAGCTATAATTGAAGAACAAACATTATTTTCATGAACAGGAGCTTAAAGCTCGAGGAGGCTCCAGTTCCGTCTTCCAAAACCGCTGCAACTCGTTCCAACTCCGAACAAACGCCGCAAAAGACATCGTCACAAAAGTTGTCAGCAGACTTCAATCGTCCGAGCGTGGCGCAAATGTTGGGGAGCGGCGGCCGTTGGTATCGGCCGCCGGCAGCGTGCGCCGGCGCTGCAACCTGCAGCTCTGCCGGCGGTGATGACGTAGGTGACGTGGCGGCCGCTGATTGGTCGGCGGGCGCCCAGCCCCCCTATATAATGCGGCGCATCGCCGGCGGCGGGCAGTCGCTGAGCGGGTTGCTCGGCGAGGGGGGCTCGGGGCTGAGCGGTTGGCTCGCCAAGGGGGAGCTCGGGGATGAGCTGGCGGACAGTTGGTCCGGCCTGATGGGCAGTCAGTGTACTAGCGTGTAATGAGCCGATGTGCATAGATTAATACATTAGTTAACTGAGCCGTGGTGTTTACCCGAGAATGCGTGTTCCGAACAACTGGCGCGGTCGGTAGGACGGTTCGGACACTAGCGGACACGCATTCGTTGGGTTGCACCATTTAAAGTAAATTTTTTATTTCTATTTTATTTTGAATCGGCTCAGTAGAGTAACGTAACATGGAAAGAGAAATTTTACTTTTAGCTAACTTTGAAAATTTCACGGGGGTAAATAATCAATCATGGGGTCGATGGTACCGACGGTTTCGGGCGAAGACGATCGCTTTCTCCGAAGAGAATCGGCTGCAGGGCCTGGTCAGCCTGCTGCAAGATGGCGCCCTGGACTATTTCGCCTCGCTGTCGGAGGAGGTCCAGAGCAACCTCCAGCAAACTGTGGCCGCACTGGAGGCCCGTTTCGGCACAGCGAAAAGCGTGATGCGGGCGCACGCTGAGCTGGCCAGTATCCGGCAGCAGCCCGGTGAGGCGACGCGAGACTTCGCTGACAGGGTGCGCCAGACAGGCCGTGAGGCGTACCCGGGAGCGGCAGCCGGTGACCCGGCCGTGGAAGCGACCGTCGTCAGCCGCTTCGTGGGCGGCCTCCGTGAAGAGCAGCTGCGGGTGCGGGTCCTGACGAAAGACCCGGCTAGCCTCATCGAAGCCGTGAAGGCCGCCGATAAATTCGAAAGGCAGCAGGACGCACTCCGAGCAATGCGCCCGCCCACCGGGGGCGAGGCAATGGCGGTCCAAGACCGGGACGCGCCCGGCACCGCTCGGCTGGACGCGCTGGAGAGGATAATTGGAGAGCTGCAGCGCGCTCTGCAAGCCCTTGAGACAGCGGGAAGGCGGGACGCCTACCGCACGGGGCACGGGACAGGGGCGAGGAACCCCCAACGAGGACCGCCAAACCCGAACAGGCGGGGTAGCGGGCGCCGCTGTTTCCGTTGTAACAGCCCTGACCACTTGATCCGTGACTGTCCGGCGCGGCACACACGCGCAAACGAGCAGGTGGGGCGGTCCTTCCCACGCGGTCATCAGCAGGCGGGCCTAGAGTGGGCGGAGCGCCCCCGTGGTCCGTCTGAGGAGGCCGGCGGATGGACGCCTTTCTGTCACCAGTGCGGCCGTGGGGGTCAGCGATGGACGGGACGCCCGCCTGCTCCGGTGACTGCGGCTGTGGGCATGCCTGTGGTGATGGAGGGCCCCACAGCGCACGCGGGCCACTGGCAGCGGGGGGACACACCGGCAGCGGGGTGCGGCCGTGAGTGGCAGCGGAGGGTGGCTGACCCACCTGCCCTCAACGGGACCCCTACGGCAGGGCAGCCCACACAATCGAGGGATTGTAGCGCGACAGGACAGGGGCAAGGGTGCCCTCCTACACCGTCGTTCGTGTGCACGGTAAGGTCAGAGCCGGCGGGCAGCGAGGCTCCGCCAATATCCCAACCCCCGCTCGAAGGAAGTGGGCATCGCGAGCAGTCGGGGGCCGAGAACACTGGCCTGGGAAGGCGGTGCGCACAGGTTTGCGCGCGGGCGGTGGCCCAAGTGGCTTGTACCGCTCGGACCGTCCTCAAGTCAGCAGGGTTCGACAAGTGGCGACACTGGCCAGCCCCAGTGGCCCCATGCGGGGACCCGGTCGAGCGCGACGGGTCCGGGACGAGCCAATGCGAGGGCGGGCAGCCCAGCAGCGGCTGCGTCGAGGACACGGTGACCTCAAACGGGTCGGAGGCGGAGAGCGCGAGCCGCTGCGAGGGCGAGTCGCCCGCGAAAGCGCGCACCACCAGCCGTCCAAGTGTCGACGGCGACGCAGGGGACGCTAGTCCGGTGGAGTGGAGCGGCAAGCAGAAGGCGCAAGAAGAAAGGCCCACCCCACCTCCAGGGGCCCCGATGCAGAAGAAGCCGGCCACACGCCCCTTCGAGCGCAAAGCCGGTAACGAGCGCGACTTCCGAGCGGCAGTTGGAGGGCAGCCAAAGTTCGGCCTGCGGCACAAGGGCCCGTGGGGTCACGGAACAAGAGAAGGAAGAGGGGCCACCTACCGAGTGCGGAACGGCGTCGGTAAAACCACGATGGGGCACCACGACCACCTGACACCGCATGGTGGACGAATGTGCGGTTTGCCGCGAGTGGTGGGCGTGGTGCGCGCGCGGCATCACCCAGGTCGCGGCGCGGGACCTGAGCCGCCCCCTACCGCCCTTGGCCCGCCCGCGCCGTACCGAATGCGGCGCGGCTGCCCCTGTACAGTGTCAGGCGGGGGTCCATGAACTGCGTGAATCGCGGGCGCGGTAGTGTATCGTGCACTGGTCGTTGCGAAGTGTTGTACATACTTGTGAAATGTCAGCTGTCGTACACCTCTCTTGTGTAGGGGGGGTGTGTGTTGGGGAGCGGCGGCCGTTGGTATCGGCCGCCGGCAGCGTGCGCCGGCGCTGCAACCTGCAGCTCTGCCGGCGGTGATGACGTAGGTGACGTGGCGGCCGCTGATTGGTCGGCGGGCGCCCAGCCCCCCTATATAATGCGGCGCATCGCCGGCGGCGGGCAGTCGCTGAGCGGGTTGCTCGGCGAGGGGGGCTCGGGGCTGAGCGGTTGGCTCGCCAAGGGGGAGCTCGGGGATGAGCTGGCGGACAGTTGGTCCGGCCTGATGGGCAGTCAGTGTACTAGCGTGTAATGAGCCGATGTGCATAGATTAATACATTAGTTAACTGAGCCGTGGTGTTTACCCGAGAATGCGTGTTCCGAACACAAACTTCTTTGTTCCCTCGTCAGAGGCTAGCGGCTGTGAACAATTTCACGGTTAAATGGTGTCGCAATGTTGTCTTCTTTTTCCAACTTGATAATTCGGTTCAGCAAATTTACGCGCAAAGGTGAATGGTTGTGACTCTCCCAACCCCATAGCATTTGCCGATTACCCGTCGTGGAACAGGTACTCAGTGTTGCAAAGCACTGTATTTGCGTATTGAGAAACAGCACGCATTTCGCGAACTCTCACAGGTCGGGCTCATCTGTTTCACTCCTTGCGCTAAGAACTGCTCGAAGCCTAATCACATTTCCCCGGCCGCACCTGCTGATGAGGGTGTTTTTTTTTATATTTTTATTTCAACATTACATAGCTGTGTGTCCGTAGCGGAATTGTGCACACGTTGCACCACACCACACACTACACACATGTACACACGTACACATCATACATAGTATACCCTTAATTAAAAAACATAACATCAACATGACTAAAAACATTATTAAAATTATGCAGCCCACCTGGCCCGGCCGGGCGGTGATTAACCCCCGGCATTCACCGCCCGACCCCGGGGAGATCTGGGGGATACCCCCCCCCCCGGCCGGGGAGATCTGGGGGATACCTCCCCGGCGCCCCAGGCGGGCCGCCCCCCTCCCCCCCCCCCCCGCATCGCCGCGCATTTCTGCGAG